GAGAAAGAAACAATGAGAGAGAAGGAGAGAGAGAGAGAAAGAGAGATAAAGGGAAAGAAATTGAGAGGAGAGAGAAAGAAAAGAAAGAAAAACAATGAGAGAAGGAAAGAAAGAGGAGAAAGAAACAATGAAAGAGAAGGAGAGAAAGGAGAAAGAAACAATGAGAGAGAAGGAGAGAGAGAGAGAGAAAAGGAGAGAGAGAGAGAGAAAGAAACTGAGAGGAGAGAGAAAGAAAGAAAACCGATGAGAGAGAAAGAGAGAAATAATGAGAGAGAAAGAGGAGAAAGGAACAAGGAGAGAGAAGGAGAGAGAGAAAGGAGAGAGAAAGAGTATGTGACAGAAGAACTGTTAGGTACAAAAAGCCAAATATTCCCTTTTTTCCAGTTAAGTATTCATACAGATCCTCTGCAATTCAGACTTTTCAATGCTGGGTTGCATTTAGGCTGCATGGAATCCTTTTCTCCAATAATCCCTCTTTGTTCAGGGGAATCCCATTCAATCCCCTCGGATTGAATTCAAGAGAATTCACGTGAATATACCCTAGGGTTGTGGCATTGTGCAGGCCTCACAATGGACCGATTCACTTCGCCATTGCAAGACCTTTCCCTTCCTTCGCTTTTTCTTCCGTTGTGCTTTTCTGATAATTTTTTTTTCTTTCTTTTTAATTTAAAACAAAAACAAAAACATGGGTAGGCTCAGCCGACGGGAGAACAGAAGAGCAAGAGCTCAAATCCTCGGGCGAGAACATGATCTCACTTCTTCTCCTTTCTTTCTCCTTCAACTTTTCTTCCTACTAGAAGCGCTTCAACGGCCCGTCGCCTCCGAATTCGAGCCCCAAAGTCTCAGCGAAGCTGCCCGCTGGAATTCCAAAGAAAACCTCCTTTCTGGTCCGGGAGAAAATGATCCCAATCTATTTGTGGCCTTGTATGATTTCGTCGCCAGCGGGGACAACACTCTCAGCATCACCAAAGGTAAGTAAGTCCTCAACACGGGGATAAGCCCGAACGGGAAGGAAGAGAAGAGGGTGGCATTTCGGGGAAGGAATTTACCTTGGCGAGAATGAATTGATCGGATGTCAAGTTCGGTTTTCCCTTTTTCTTTTTTAGCTCACCTGGAAATTTGAAGAGCATTTCACGTTAAGAAAATGCTCTTAAAATTTCATGTTAAGAAAAGCACCGGCAGCCTCTCTTAAAATCATGCACGAATTGTCACCCGGAGGGTTTTTGACCTCCGGCTGAACCTGCAAAAATTCAGAGGAAAAAAAAAAATTGGAAAAAAAAAACCCCCAGGGTTTTAAAAGGCCCCTGTTTTATCCAGCTACTTGTTGCTTGCTTGTACAATAATACAATAATCACCTTAAAATAGTGGCGGCTCCTCTGGATTTTGCTGGAGGCAAATCCTTCCCAGATCACAAATAACTGGTTTTGGTTTTGCGTTAAGGGAGGGAGAGGAGTATGGTTGTTTGAGTGAAAAGAAAAAGGGAAAAAATTGGCTTCTGTGGCATCATATGGATGCTCTCCAGTGTCCCTGACAGAGCAGTTAAGGGTTGATCTTTTTTAATTATTAAAAAAAGGGGTTGCTGTTTTATTTTACCACTGTATATAAACCAAGAGCCAACCCTTCCAGCACTGATGATATTCCCTACTTGGGTACTAAAACGTCTGCATAGAAAAGAAGATTTAGAGAGCGTAAAGGAACCCACAGTCTCCTCCTTCATTCGGCAAACCCCATTCCCTTGTAACACTGATGATGTTACCTAGTTGGCTAATGAAACATCTACAAGAAAATAATCAAGTTTAGAGAGCACAACGGATCTCACAGTCCTCCACTCTGCAAACCTCCCTCCCCCCTAGCACTGATGAGGTTCCCTAGTTGGGTAATGAAACGTCTGTAAGGAAACCACAGACCCCAAAGTCCTCCTCCTCCTCTTCCTCCTCCACAAACCAGCACTGATTATGTTATCTAGCTGGGCCATGAAAGGCCTGGAAGTTCAGAGACCACCAAGGACCCCACAGTTCAACCCTGAACTGCACACATTCCCTTTCTTTCGCACTTTCACCGCGTTTTAATTGCTTCTTGTGAACCGCCCTCTCCAAGGAGCCTTCCGACAATTCCCAGAGTTGTTGCGATCGTGGTTGTTGTTTGTGTTTTTCTCCCCAAAGGGGAAAAACTTCGCGTCTTGGGTTACAACCACAACGGAGAATGGTGCGAAGCCCAGACGAAGAATGGGCAAGGCTGGGTGCCCAGCAACTACATCACCCCCGTCAACAGCTTGGAAAAGCACTCGTGGTACCACGGCCCGGTATCCCGCAACGCAGCCGAGTACCTGCTCAGCAGTGGGATCAATGGCAGCTTTTTGGTACGGGAAAGTGAAAGCAGCCCTGGTCAAAGATCCATTTCCTTGAGATACGAGGGGAGAGTCTACCACTACCGGATCAACACCGCCTCAGACGGGAAGGTGAGTTGGGGTGAAGCTGTCCAGCCAAAAACCAGCACACAACAAGGGACCAGTTTTATGTACTTGGGTGCTTTTCAGTTGGAGGCTTCTTCCAATTTTCATTTTTATGGTGTCAGATCAACGCAAACTCTTTCCAGGTAGCCCTTGGCTTACGACTGCAATGGGGCCCCAGATTTCTGTCGCCAAGCAAGACAGAGTTGGAAGGGACCCTGTAGGTCATCTAGTCCAACCCCTCCCCGCCCAAGCAGGAGAACCTACCCCGTTTCTGACAGATGGCAGTCCAGTCTCTTCTTGAAAGCTTTCAGGGATGAAGCATGATATTGAGTGAGTTTGCTAAAAGGAGCACCCGATGCTTCCTTCTTCCACTAGAGGCCAGTCCATCCTTCCTCAGTGGAAATGCCTGGAGAGGCTTTTTACTGAACAGATTAATGGTTCTTTCCTTACCCCGAAGTTGTTTTAATCAGAATTATTCAAGAAGAGATAAGAGCCAGGGGATTTTCATTCGCACCAAAAGTCCACCGGCGCCTTTTGTCAGAACACTTTTATCAGCTGGAGGTTTTCGGTTTTTAATAAAAACAACATCCAGGAAACGGTGCGGAATTAGATTCTCGTCGGACCCATTATCCACGCCGCCGTCGTGTGAGACAATATGAAGTTGTTTGATAAAATAGATCTCGTATCCCGGCTGGGATTTGCCAGGAGAAACTAGGTAGAGCCAGGCGGTTGTAGCTCTTCGCTTGTGAAGAACCTTCCCTTATCACAGCGTTTATTAATTTAATCAGACAAGTTAATAACAGCCAGAATTGAAAATATACCCCTTTTTGGAGGCTGGGGAATCGGGGCGGAAGCCGCTCGCAAAAGCGTCAGGAGGCCGCGGAAAAGAGAGGAGAAATTGCAAACGAGGTTAAATATATGTCATTTGTTTTTTCAATGGCTCATATCGAAAATCTATCAAGGAAGAAGCCGTACGTAGAGACAGTCCTTAACACCTGCAGTTGGAACTGGAAGTTCCGTTGCTAAGGGATCCAGTCGTTAAGTGACTCATTATGTGACCGTGCGTGATTTTATAATCCTTTTTTTTTCCTTTTTTTTTTTGGCTGCGGATGTTAAGCGGATCACATAGTTGTTAAACGAATGTGGCTTTGCCCATCGACTTTGCTTATCGGAAGTTAAAGACCCAGAGATTTGGCAACCTTCCTAATTACACGCTGGTTGCCAAGCGCCCGGATTTTGATCACGTGACCACAGGGGACGCTGCAACGGTCATAAGTGTGAGGACCAGTCACAGGTCCCCTTTGTCAGTGGCGTGAACGGTCCCTAAACGGACAGTTGTAAGTCAAGGAACATCGGTGGTTTCCCTAAGAATTGTAACTGTGTATCTTTTAAGGAGTCTTCCAGAAAGCGTGGCTTGATGACGGCGGGATTTAAATTTCTTCCTTTTTGCTTTTTCTTTCTTTCTTCTTTTTAATATTCCTTATATCTCAGGGTGATTTTTGTCATGACAGGGAACCTGTTGCTAGAAGCCTACGGATGAATAATTCGTGTTTGGCCAGCTGCATTTTCTGGTGACTGATAATCATTTAGACTGCCTTGAATTAATCATATATAATGCAGCAGCCATTCCCTCCGGTTGCTAAAAGGGGCCTGTATTCATATATAACTGGAAACCGGCCTACAGCTGCCGGAAGGGAGGGAGGAAGGAAGTGGAAGGAAGGGAAGGAAAGGAGGAAGGGAGAGAGGAAAGAAGGAAGGTAGAAAGAAGATGGGAAGGAAGGAGGAAGGAAGGAGGTTAAATGTCAAGGACTACCTTGGACTATAAACTAGAGTCAGGGTGAAGATTATGGAAGAAGGGAAACAAGAAAGTTAAAATTCAAGGTGTGTAGTATAATGTCGCTTTTTCAGTATTTGAAAGAACCTGCAGGATTTTTTTTTGGAAAAACCTCTATCGAAAGCTACCCATCCAACATCTTGTAATCTTTTGTAAAAGTTGACATGCGCCACAGGGGAAAAGAAGGCAGAATGTGGCTTTTTAAATGAAAGATAAGTCTTTCCTAAGAAGAATTTAAAACAAACAAACAAACCCATAATGTGTTTTACGGGGAATAACATGTCATATGAAAGGAAAGAGTATGAATGACAGTGTTTCTAGCTGCCATTGTTAGATTAAAACTTGCAGGTCGTAAAACAGGACAATAGAATTCACTCGACCATCTCGGTTAGCGACAGAAATTCCTGGCTCAATTGTGGCCGTAGGTCAAGGGCTCATCACCGGCCAATCATCATCGTAGATGAGGAACCTCCGAAAACGGTTGGGCTCACCTCTCTCTCTCTCTCTCTCTTTGCTTCTCTCCAGCTTTACGTCTCGTCAGAAAGCCGCTTCAACACATTGGCTGAGCTGGTCCACCACCACTCAACCGTGGCCGATGGGCTCATCATCACTCTCCACTACCCCGCCCCGAAGAGGAACAAGCCCACCATTTACGGGGTCTCTCCCAACTACGACAAGTGGGAGATCAAACGGACGGACATCACAATGAAGCACAAACTGGGCGGCGGACAATACGGGGAGGTGTACGAAGGCGTCTGGAAGAAGTACAACCTCACCGTGGCGGTTAAGACCCTCAAGGTAAGCATGGCAAATCTTAATTTTAAATCTTAGATTGAATTCGGTTTACCGCCACGGTTTAAGACCAGATTTTTAGGAGACTTCGTTTTGGGAAGAGGGAAATTCGTGCCCCCCGCCCAAAAAAAGTTCCTTTTTGTGGTTGTTTTTGAAAGGTGGGGAAATACCGCCATCTAGTGTTAATAATCGGGAATCTTGGCTCATGCGAGAAAAAGGGGCCAATTCAACTCTGGAGATTTTTGCTCCTAAGGGACACGAAAAGGGTCACACCATCGCTTTTTGTGACAAGTCAATGGGGAAGTCAGATTCACTTAACAACAGTGTTGCTAACTTAACAACTGCAGTGGTTCACTTAACCACGGTGGCATGGAAGCTCGTAAAATCGGGCAACGCTCCCTTAACCATCGTCTTGCCTAGCCACAGAAATGTTGGCCTCCATTGTGGTCATAAGCTGAGGACTACCTGTAGGATAGCGTTCTGACCCAAATCCTTTTCCAATAAAACAAACACGAACCAAAGGGAACAGAAACCTTTTAATGATTCTTACGAATCCCCGGTTAAAAGGCTGCTAATTAACTAATTAACTTTAATAAGCACGACCCTTGCCAAAACTGTACGAGACTGCGAAGAATCACAGATAAGAAATATTTTACAACACAAGAGTCTTCGAATACCAACCCGTCCGCCCACCCCCTTACCTGACCCCTTACCTGCACTGCACTTCACAGCTGATTTTCGGCCAGTTTGAGGCCTTGTTCGGCCTCCCAAAGGTTTGAGGAAGGCTTCTGCAGGCCGAAAACTAGCCCCGTTTCGTCACTTCCGGTATTTTCAGAAAAACGGGAAGTGACGAAACGGGGCTAGTTTTCGGCCTGCAGAAGCCTTCCTCGAACCATTTGGGAGGCCGAAAAAGGCCTCAAAATGGCCGAAAATCAGCCATGAGGTACGCGCATGTGCACTGAGGTAAGTTTGCCTGCAGCTCGCGGCTCGGCCTCCAATGATGGAGCACGGCTTCCCCAGCAAGGGTTGCTCTCCCAGCTGCACTAAGCCGCTTCTGCTGCAGTTCCTACTGGACTCTGGGTAGCGATTAATTATTTTTCAGCCGCAGACTATTTATTATCCTGTTTTCGGAGTTGCCTGGAGCCACAGAGATGCTGGTTTGACAAAGTAGTTTCTGCAGAGATAAACGAGGGCCAGCGCTGCCCCCATTCAATAACTCCTCGCAACATTTAGCTCCAGCGATGCCCTTAAATAAGACTTCAATTAGCGTGGGATGTTTGCCCAAACACACACACACAAAATCACACACCAACACAAACACAGAAGGAGGTGTGTGGGGGGAAGATGTGTTGGAAGAGCCCTTCGAAAGCCCTCTCGGTTTTTCTGCACAGGGATTTTCTGCTTTAGGTCTCGTAAGGTGGTTTTCCTAAGCCTTGCCCTCGACTTACAGATAACAGATAATCAGAGTTGGAAGGGACCTTATAGGTCATCTAGTCCACCACCACCCCGCCCCACCCAAGCGACCATAACGGAGGCCCAAATTTCCATCGCTAAGCAAGGCAGTTGTTAAAGAGAGTTGTGCCCCTTTTAAACATTTAGCTCCGGCGATGCCCTTAAATAAGACTTCAATTAGCATGGGGGGTTTGCCCAAACACACACAACTTTTGTTGTTTTGCTGCGGTGGGTGGACGTAGCGCCGCAGTTATTAGTGAATCAGAGGCTCGTTGAATGAATCCAGTTCCCTTTTTTCTGGCATTTGGGAACGATGCTGATTTGGTTGGCTGCCTCAATTTCCCCATTGTAGATCTGGTCCATATTTTCGGATTTTCCCTCCTTGACTTTTCTTTCTCTATTCTTCTTCTGGTCTCTGTTTTTTGGGGGAGGGGTGGTGGTGGTGGTGTAAGCTGATCTCGGTTAAGTTTCATGCTGCTTGTGGCTTGGTTCACATGCTGAGCGAAGCCAAAAGGTTTGGCTTGTCATGCTTTTATAAACCATAATTGATGGCTTAAGCTTTATGTGGGAGCAAAGCCACGCTAGATTCTTCCTTTCTTCTTCCTTTTTCTTCCTTTCTCCTCTTCCTTTTCTCCCCCCCCCCTTTCTAATTTCCCTTTTTTACTTTGGTCATGTCTCCTCCTCCTCCTCTTTCCCCCACTTCGCACTCTCCCTCCCTCCTTCCCTCCCTCCTTCCTTTCTTCTTCCCTCCCTCCCTCGCACCTTCCCTTCCCTCCGAAGCAAATTCTGAGTCCAGTTGCATTATGGAATCTGTTACCATTCTCTAGAGTGGTGCCCATCCCCAGGAGTGGCCCTCATGGAGAGTTAGATAGGTTCTTTTGCAGGGGGGGGCGGGAGCATTAACAAAGATTCTACAGTCCTTCCAGGATCAGATTGTGAATTGCTGGGTGATTTGACCGAAAGTGGAGTGCTGCAGTTAAATTTTGCATGCAACATTCTCGAAACTCATTGGTAAACTAATAAGGGTGCTATTTAGCCTGGAATAAATAGCCTATGGGTCTGATTGTCTTATATTTTTGAATCAATAAGTCTTTTTAAGACTCTGTGAGCTGCCCTCCTTTCAATATTCCTCTTTTCCCATTGTACGTTATATCAATGCAGTTTTTTGTCTGCCGGAGTAAATGGAAACGTGCAGAAAAACCCAAGATAGTACAAAAAATGCTTGGGGTGGGTGGATAATGGTGGATTTTATTTTCACAGATTACTTTTTATCCCTCCCCCTCCCGAATTAATTTTTAATTTCACAGATTTTATTTCACAGATCTCTCGTTTGTTTTGTCGGGAAGTACCATTTTGCTGGGTCATTTTGTATTTTAACCCTCCTTCAGATTGGGCGTGGGATAGCGACCGCATGTAAATGAATTTCATGCCTCTTCCCCCCACCCCAAAAATATAATACTGCATCCAGTTTTGGTCACCACGATATAAAAAAAGACGTTGAGACTTTGGAAAGAGTGCAGAGGAGAGCAACCAAGAGGATTAGGTGCTCCAACACTGGAGGTTTTTAAGAAGAGTCTGGAAAGCCATTTGTGTAAAATCGAATAAGGCCTCTCTGACTTGAGTGGGGGGGGGTGGACTAGAAGACCTCCAAGGTCCCTCCAAACTCTGTCATTCTGTCTCTAACCTCCATCCATGCTACTTGGAGCTGAGGTGTGTTGGAGCTCAAGCCGTCTTTGAGGAGACTATATGCACCCTGCTTCTCTTCTGAGAGTAAAGTAATAGGGGCGCTTCTTGGATAGTCAGCGGAAAAGCCGCGACTTTCCCGTACTGTTCGTTTCTACTCCTGCGTTGCCAAGTTAGAAGTGCTGTGGAAGTAGAAATGCCATTCTCAATTATCCTACTATCTGACTGTGGATTTAATCACTGTCATGGAGTTATCTACCCTTCCATGCATACATAAACACCCAGGGCTATGGTTGGTCTCCTTTTCACAAGCTGGGATGCTTCAAGCAGATTCACAAACATCCATCTGTTATTCTTTGTATAGAACATCTGTCAACGACACACACACACATGCACACACACACACACACAAAGACAGAGAGAGAGAGAGGGAAGGAGGGAGGGAGAGAGAGAGATGTACGCACCAACTTGCTCGGTCACCACAGGTGAACATGAATTATGAAAGACAAGCAAACAGTTGGGGTGGCTTTTACTACAGCTAGCTCAGAAACCAAGCCTTCTAGTAGCACTGATGATGTTACCTAGCTTGGTAATGAAAGGTTTGAAAGAAAACCACCAAGCTCAGAGAGCACCAAGGACCCCACAGTTCAGTTTTCAAACCTGCCCAAGTAAATATGCAGAAAAGGAGTGGGGGAAAAACAGGGCAGAGGCAAAATTGATGGCATTTGTAGGTTTCTTTAGAAATAGCATTGATTTTACAGGTGTTTCTTGCTTGGCTGCGTTTCTGCATTTCCCGTGTGTGGCCTTCGGGCCAACGTTAAAAAAAAAAAAAAAGAATCTTGATAATGACATTTTTGAGAAAAAAAGGAAAGAAGGAAGGAAAAAAAAAAAGGATTTTCCACCAAAGTGAATTGAGTGGATATTGGGGAAGGTGGAAGGATGGGTTATTTCCACCCCAGCGATCCTTTTGCAAGTTCATTCCACGTTCTTTCAAGTTTTCCATGTCATCCTTGGGAGAGAGAAAAAAAAATCAAAGGAAAACAGCTGCTGTGATTGCCAAGGATTCCATCGTATGATCTGCCTTTCTTCTCGTCCTTGATGATCCCAGCATCAGGAATCTCACTAGGATTGGAGATGAGCGAAGGGGAGAAGCGAACGGTGCAGTAGGGCAACTTTAAAAAGGGAGAATTTTCAAGTTTGCTTTGGTTTGTTGCAAAGAAGATCGGAAGGCATTTAATTATTGTTTTCCCTTCCCTTCTTCATCCCTTCCCCTCACTTTTCTCTTCCCTTCCCCTCCCTCTCCTTCCCTTTCCCTTCCCCATCCATCCAAGGAAGAGAGAGAGGGAGGGAGGAAAGAAGGGATGAAGGAAGGAAGGAAAGGGAAGGAAGTTCTAATGATTGTGCAGAAAATAGCTTTCTTCTGCCCAGCAAGCAACTTTGGGGTCTGAGTCCTTCACCACACCATAAAAAAAAGATGTTGAGACTCTAGAAAGAGTGCAGAGAAGAGAAACCAGGATGATGAGGGGACAAGAGACTAAACCATATGAGGAACGGTTGTAGGAACTGGGCCTGGCTAGTCTAGGGAAGAGAAGGACCAGGGGAGACAGGAGACCAGTCTTCCAATATTTGAGGGGCTGCCCCAGAGAGGAGGAAGGGGCCAAGCTATTCTCCAAAGCACCTGTAGGCCAGACAAGGAATAATGCATGGAAACGGAACAAGGAGAGATTCAGCCTGGAAATAAGGAGAAACTTTCTGACAGTGAGAACAATCAACCCGTGGAACTGAAGTTGTGGGAGCGCCATCACTTGAGACTTTCATGAAGAGATTGGACTGCCATTTGTCAGAAATGGTGTAGGGTCTCCCGCTTGGGTGGGGGGTTGGACTAGACGACCTACAAGGTCCCTTCCAACTCTGATTATCTGTTATCCTTCTCCTCCCTCCTCCCTTCTGTTCTTGCCACAGGAGGACACGATGGAGGTAGAAGAATTCTTGAAAGAGGCGGCCGTCATGAAAGAAGTCAAGCATCCAAATTTGGTGCAGTTGCTTGGTAAGTGACAGAAGTGCTGAGCACGGCCACGTAGGCCACGTATACCGGAGATCTGGGGATGCGGAAGAGCCAAGGAGCTGCTCCCTGCACCATAAACTTCACAGGTCTTTGTCAGGGGCTGGCAATTCATTCCTTAAAAATGGGAGGGGGGAAATGCTCCCCCCCGGGGGGCTTTTAATTAATCCTTCTGAGGCAGCTTTCGTCTACGGGAGGGCCCCCAGCTTCGACGTCCACCTGGGAAGGGCCTCCTCGTGCCCGACATTGGGCTTTCGAAGGCGGCCGAAGACGGGAGGGCCAGTCCTTGGAGGTTCTGCCTGGGCTTACCGTCGTCCGCCTTGCTTGGCAGGGGTCTGCACGAGGGAGCCCCCCTTCTACATCATCACGGAGTTCATGACCTACGGGAATCTGCTGGATTTCTTGCGGGATTGCAACCGGCAAGAGGTGAACGCGGTGGTCCTCCTCTACATGGCCACGCAGATTTCCTCGGCCATGGAATACCTGGAGAAGAAGAATTTCATCCACAGGTAGGTAGAGCAGAGAATGCCAGCGCTGTTTCCAGACTTTCTTCCTTTCTTTCCTTCCTTCCTTCCTTCCTTTCCTTCCTTCCTTCATTCCCTTCCTTCCTTCCTTCCTTCCTTCTTTTCCTTCCTTCTTTTCCTTCCTTCTTTTCCTTCCTTCCTTTCCTTCTTTTCTTCCTTCCTTCCTTTCCTTCCTTCCTTTCCTTCCTTCCTTCTGTCCTTCCTTTCCTTCCTTCCTTCTTTCTTTCTTTCCTTCCTTCTTTCCTTCATTATTTTTCTCTTCTCTTCCCTTCCCCGCTTTCTTTCTCCTCTCCCCTCTCTCTCTCTTCCCCTCTCCTTTCAGAAGATGGTGGGAGCAGATCTCGCCTCCAACAACAGAGGGCTCCAGGGGCCACCACAGAAAAGGCCCTTCTGCTCAACCCAGCCAGCCAAAATTCCTTAACAGCCAGGGGTCTGCAGGAAGCCCCTTCCTGTGGAACAAGTGGGATCGGCTAAACTCATTGAGGGGTGTGTCTGTGTGTGTGTGTGTGAGAGAGAGAGACATCTCCTGAAATACCTTAATTGATGTCTGCCCCCTCCTTTGTGACACAAGGCGGCCCCCCTAGTTCCATTCCCCCACTCCCTTGTGCAGCCTCTTTGCGTATCTCCACACAACCTCCTACCCTCCTTCCAGAGGCAACCTCCGGAGCTGCTCAGCATTTGGAACCCCGAAAAGACACACACACACACACACACACACACACACACCCCTCCCTGTTTCATTTGTTGACCCCTCTCTGCCTTGCACAGCGGAGGTGAGCCGCTCTTGCGGATGCCTTTGTGTTTTTTGTGATAAGGCTGGCAACGAGACCATCTTCCTCCTTCTTCCCAGCTCTTTGTGCGAGGAAGCTTGCAAGGGGGCCTCCAGGAATGGCCCCCATTTGCCTGTAATGGCCCTCCTCCTCCTCCTCTTCCTCCTCCTCCTCCTCCTCCTCCTCCTCCTCCTCCTCCTCCTATTAGAACACCCCCTTCCTGATGAACTTCTCCCTTTTCGTCTCTCTCTCTCCCCCTCTCTTTCTCTTTCTCTTTCTCTCACGCTTTCTCTCTCCCTCTCTCTTTCTCTTTCTCTCTTCTTTCTCTCTCTCCCCTTCTTTCTCTCTCTTTCCCCCTCTCTCTTTCTTTTTCTCTCTTTCTCTCTCTTCTCTCTCCCTCTCTCTTTCTCTTTCTCTCTCTCTGTCTCTCTCTCTCTTGTCTTTCTCTCTCTTCCCCCCACTCTCTTTTATTCTTCCTTGGGTGCCTCTCCCTCTTCCCAAAGCTCCTTTGTGGCTATCCTTCGCTCACCTTGTCATCCGCTGGTTTTTTTTTTTTTTTTCCAGGATCCTTTATTGTCTGGGCTTTTTTCTCTCTCTCTCTCCACTCTCTATTAACCATCTTTGCTGGGAAGGCTGAAGGCTGGAGGCTTATGACCTTTAAGCGAGCTGCAATTACAGCCAAGGCTTTGCATTCTTTGTCTGGGGAAATGGCTTCTCTGATCACCCTAATAGCCAAGCCTAGCGGGGGAGATTCGAGCCGCTCTTCCATCAGCAGGAGGGGGTGGGGGGAGAGAAGAGAAGAGAAGAAAAAAAACACCTCTCCTTCTTAGGTCGTTTCTCCCCCACCCCCGAGATAAATCTGGGACTCTGTTCCACGGGAGGTAGACAAGCTACCTAGATGCTTCCCTGGGACTTCGGAAAAAATGACATTTGAGAGTCTGATGTTGTTCCGGGGAGCGTCCCAGTTTGAGAAACCCCACAGCTCCAGAGCATACAGAATACAGAGTGCTGAAAGGGACCTATGGAGGTCTTCTAGTCCAACCCCCCCTCCCCCAAAACAGGAGACAGCTTCTGTCGTGCCCCTGATGGAGGCTGACTCTGAGCAGTTGGAGGAGGACCCAGGCCCATCCCCTATCCATCCTAGGGCGGGCAGGGAGGAGAGGATCAGGGTAAAACGTGGCCTACTCGGGAGGAGAGAGTCATGATCCACCTTCCTCTTCCTCTCCTATCACCTTTTTATCTCCTTCTCCTCGTACGTACCTCCGCTTTCCGTGAAATCTATCCGTACCTGTCTGTCTTTCAACTCATACTTCTTCTCCTTCCTCTTCTTCTTCCTCTTCTTCTTCCTCTCCTCCTCCTCCTCTTATCACCTTTTTATACAAATCGTATCTACCTGTATTATCTTCCTCTCTTTACCTTTCTACGCTTGAACCTGCCTTCTCTTGGCATGCTCTTCACCTTATTCCTGCTTTCCCTTGAAGCTTTGTGAAGCTGTTTCCCTCAGCAGTTTTCTCCCCACCCTTGCCCCCCCTGTAGGGACCTTGCTGCCCGAAACTGCTTGGTAGGAGAGAACCACCTGGTGAAGGTAGCTGATTTTGGCTTAAGCAGATTGATGACTGGTGACACTTACACCGCCCATGCTGGAGCCAAGTTCCCTATCAAGTGGACTGCGCCGGAAAGCCTCGCTTATAACAAATTCTCCATCAAATCGGATGTCTGGGGTAAGGATACAGAATAAGAGAGTTGGGAGGGACCCTGGAGGTCTTCTAGTCCTTCCTCAAGCAGGAGATCTTATACCTGTGACGGCGAGCCTGTGGCACGCAGAGCCATTTGTGTGGAGACACGAGCCGCAGCCAAACTTACCTCACGGCATGTGTGCACCTCCCAGCTGATTTTCGGCCTCCCAGAGGCTCGAGGGAAGCCTCTGCGGCCTTTGGAGGCTGAAAAACAGGCCCGTTCTGTCACTTCCTGTATTTCCGGAAATACCGGAAGTGATGAAACTGGCCCATTTTTCAGCCTCCAAAGGCTGCAGAGGCTTCCCTCGAGCCTCTGGGAATCTGAAAAAGGCCTCAAACGGGCCAAAAATCAGCTGGGAGGCGCGTGCAGGTAAGGGGGCGTTGGTGGGGTTGGTGTTGGTGTTGTCTGAGCTTGGTGGTTTCCTGGCAGACGTTTCATGACCCAACTAGGGAACATCATCTGTGCTAGGAGGGAGTGGGGTTTATGGGGGAAAAGGAGGAGAAGGAGGAGTGACTATGGGGATGTCATCGTGACAGTCATAAATGCAAAGACTAAGTAACCTCTATGGAAATTCTCAGTCAGCCAGGTCATGACGTCCCAAAGATTTAAAAAAATACACCAAGAAAATCCAGCTGCCTCCTGAAAAAGCACTTTTTTTAGTCCTAAGTACCGTTTTCCAGAACTGTTGCAACTTTGAACGGTCGGTAAAACGAACGATTATAAGTCAAGGACTAATAGGTTTCCCCAGTGTGCCAGTGTGCCAGTGTGCCCAGCTCAAATCAAATCCATCTTAACAAGCTCTGTGCACGTGGTTATTTTTCCAGCGGATGCTTTTTTAAAAAATAATAATAATAATAATAATAATTCCGGTCTTGGCCTTTTTCAAACCAATATTTCTCTCAGTTTGATGAACCCCTTCGCTCTACTCATCGTGCCCCGAGAAAGGATAGGGTTGTTGTATCCAATTACACAACCACGCGCGCATTTCTCTAAATCCCAGTCGGGGTCGGAGAGAGAGCAAAGGACTGAAAAGTTTGGGCTTTGCTTTTTGCAATTTTGTAAAAAGCAGCTTCCTTCGGGCAGAAAAAGCGAGTTCTTGTTGTATTTTCACCTTTGGATTTCCTTCTTCTCCTTTCTGACTTAGCAGTATATTTCTTCCCATCCTCTGCTGCCTGGGGAAAAAAACTCATAAAGGGTCGTTATTTATCTCATAATGCAAGTTGAAGGTTTTTTTGTTTTCCAAGCTCAGCAACTCCTTTCTCTTCGGTTAGGTGGCTGGGCCGAAGCAAAGAGAGATAGGTTGGAGATTCTGATATTTATCAAATATGCCTCCGTGCCTTCGAGTATCTGAGGAGACAATTCCCCCCTCCCCAACCTCTCTGTATTTAGTGAGATCCTCTTCAGGAGCATCCTTTCCCTGCTTAATATTCTCTGTAAAAACAAAAAAAAACAATGTTGGCTTGAGTCATCCTTAAACCGTGATCTCACCTCTCCGCTGGGAGTTTAAAAGAGGCGGTTAGCTGATGAGGTCTTCCTTCATTCTGTTTTCTGGAGACCAATCTGGGAAGCTGCTCGAGAGCCGCTAATGTATGGGGAGAAGAGAATATTTTAGCTCAAGGTTAAACCCAACTAGGTAACATTATCAGTGCTGGGAAGGAGTGGGGTTTGTGGAGAAGAGGAGGTTGTTGACAGTGGGGTCCTTGGTGCTCTCTGAGTTTGTTTCTTTTCTTGCAGATGTTTTCATGACCCAACTAAGTAACATCATCAGTGCTAGAAGGGAGTGGGGTATGTGGAATGGAGGAGAAGGAGAAGGGGGAAAAAATGGATTATGGGGTCCTTAGTGCTCTCTGAGCTAGGTAGTTTTCTTGCAGACGTTTCATGACCCAACTAAGTAACATCTTTGGCGCTAGAAGGGCGTGAGGTTGGCTCTCTGCTTATATACTGTTCCTTGATTAGGTTGGTGGTTATTCCTAGCTTGTTTCTTTGTGTTGCTAATGTTGGTGATGTTACCTACTTTGGTAATGAAATGTCTGCAAGAAAGCAACCAAACTCAGGGCTACTCTACATAAACAGGGAGCAAACCCCACGCTCACTAGCACTGATGATGTTACCCAGTTGGGTCATGAAAAGTTTGCAAAGATACTACCAACCTCAGAGGGCACGAAGGAGCCCGCTGTCCTTGTCCACCTCTTCCTCCTCCTCCTCTCCACAAACCCCACTCCTTTCCAGCACTGATGATGTTACCTAGTCGGGTCATGAAACGTCTGCAAGTTACTAACGTCCCTGACTGCCGGCCTTATTAGGTGGACCAGCCAAGAAACCAGCTCTATGGGAAGTTAAAACTTGCCTTCATTGGGATGTGTCAAACTGCATGCAAAATGATTCTCCCTGTCCTCCCTCACAGCTTTTGGGGTCTTGCTTTGGGAAATTGCCACCTACGGCATGTCCCCCTACCCTGGGATCGACCTGTCGCAGGTGTACGAGCTTTTGGAGAAGGACTATCGCATGGAACGGCCAGAGGGCTGCCCGGAAAAAGTCTACGAGCTCATGAGAGAATGTGAGTTTGTGCCCTGCTGGTGCCTGGGTTGAGTTTCCTTTTCTTTTAAGGTTGGGGAAGCCACAGTGCACTTTTCGGTCTGGAGGGGACACCCCTTAAGGGAAGGTAAGGGGCACCAGTTCACCAGTTGCTCATCTTCCCTTTAGGCTGGCAGTGGGTCGCTTCAGACAGGCCGTCCTTTGCCGAAATCCACCAAGCCTTTGAGACGATGTTTCAGGAATCCAGCATTTCAGATGGTGGGTGCCTCCAGGTTCTTTCTTTCTTTCTTTCTTTCTTTCTTTCTTTCTTTCTTTCTTTCTTTCTTTCTTTCTTTCTTTCTTTCTTTCTTTCTTTCTT